TGTGGGTGTGGGGCGGGGGGGGGGGCGCCTTAAGATCAATTTAGTCTTTTGTTATGGGATGAATTCAACACAATCGAATTTCCAGTGAAAAGATGTCTTAGCCAAACAAAAAGGAGAATCGAATGAATCTAATTCAACATTTTGATTAATTACTGTTGCAGAGTAGCATGATAGATTTGTGAAGTGCATCTCTTTTATCTTGAGCGATGGTGTCACTCGGCTACACAGAGGCTAATGGTGTTGGTGTTGCCGATAGTTTGTTCAAATAAATAATAATAAAACAGAAGGTTGCAATCACTGGTTATGCATGGAGTGTGTTCAAGAATTTACATGAAAACAAGATACATCCACTCTTTATATGAAGTTAATATTCAAGAACATCATTTGAAACTCAGGTGATACTGCACAGAACCCAGATATTGACGCAAACCTGCTAGCATGTTACTGAGATCATAAATTTAGGGCTTATTTGCACATTAAACCCGAAGTTTCGCCCTTTTCTAGTTTTGATACTCTGAAGTTCTATTTTGACAATTTGATAACCGAAAGTTTTCACATTGTTGCTCTTTTCCCAACCTTAAAGAAAATTGAAAGGGACCTTCATTTCGGGGTGCATTCGGTCCGGATACAGCTCGGATATGATGCTTACCATATCCATATCCGCTTACCCATCTCGAATACGGATACAGATATACCTCGGTAAGAAAAATTTGTATCCATATCTGCTAAAATGGGATACAGTTATGGATATAGATGCGGATACAAAACGAATATGAGAAAACTAGATAGCATTGAGAAAAACATAGTTCATGTGATACAAAAGAGGTTGTTAATATGTTCATTACAACTAAAAAGCTAAGATTATACATCTTGATCATCAAAATTAACCATAAATCTATAATTTAAGAATTGAAACTATCGTAAGAGTACGACTAATATGTATTTGGATATTTTTTCGATACGGATACAGATATTTTACTACAAAATCATATCCATAACCATATCCCATCAGTTATAGATTTGAGTAAATACATCCGTATCCTAACGTATACGGTTACAGATATTTTCTCTGATACGAATAAGGTTTAGCACCCTTACTTTCATTTCCTCTCTACCATTATTTAAAATCTATAATTTTGGAATAGAGAAAGGGATTTTCTTACCCTTTGAATCATCAAATTGTCAAAACAGAACTTCAGGATATTAAAGTAAAAAAAGAAAAGGTAAAAGTCACACATCTATCAGCACTTCCTTATGCTCAATGCTACATTGAATCCTAACTACCGACAATAAAAACACAAGGCTCATGATGAAACTACTATCGCAAGTGCTAAATAAAGGAAGCCGGCAAACAAAAAAAAAAAAAAATCACAAGGCTCGTGATGAAAAATACCGCATATTTTCAGCTCCAAATTCTTACAAAATATCCGTTCGATCTCCTTAATTAAGACTAAGAAACTAGTAGCTAATTAAAATGGGTACGTCTCTCCCATGATGTTTACTATGTACAAAGAAAGTGTAAGCCATCCAAAACTCCACCTCATATCAAAGATGGTATTAACTAACACTTCAAAAAAAAAAAAAAAAAACAAAGTAATTATATGAAACAGAGAAAACCATGCTCGCATCCTTCAGTCATGAGAGCACAGGAGCATGATGAGGCAACGCTGGATGATGTAGAGCCTTGCCTTGTGCTCCTTCAGGCCTCTGCTCAACGAAACCAACCTCCTCTTCTGCTTAATATCTCCAAGCTTCATGGCGATTTTCCTTTTAATTGGTAAAGAGATTTGGTAGGAACTTGGCATTTATAGAGGGGGGTGGGGGCGAAACTAAGGAAATATCAAGGGAACTGCAGTTGGACTCTGTTAACGTCACGCTTGCCCCACGTGTGTCCCCCTCCCATCCCTTGGAGTTGGAGTCGGATGGCACGAACTTGCTTGGAAATTTTATTAGTATCTACATCCCATACGATTCGTATATACGATATCTCAATCTAACAAACAAATACATTGGTATTCAGAAAGTATAAATATTGTTAGTAGAAATAATGAGCATCCTTGTCGTATGAGGATTTTATTCTGTTATGACTAAAATGATGCGGTTAAATCTATTGTTTCGGCTTGCAGGGTATTTCTCAATGCTTATCGCTGCCATCCAATAGGTTAAATACAGTCTCTTTCCAAAAAAAAAAAAAAAAAAAAAAAAAAAAAGTCATACGAATTGTCAAATTATCCCTCACCGCTTCGAAGAGTTGTGGCTTGCATCATTTGATGGTACGTTTAAAGGGCCAACTCACCCCGCGTTCAAGAATTTGCAATGGCTACAAAAAGTAAGAGTTCTTCACAAATTTGATAACCTCACCTCTATCTATCATCCAATTAAAATCGATCGAAGACACAAAAGCTAACAAGAAACCAAATACCATTTGGACTTGTCCAACTAAATCAAACTAGCTCGTAATTATCAGTTTGAGTTCCAATACCGCACGCGGTCGAGTCCGAGGGAGCCAACGAAACGCCGTGTTCCGAGTTCGACGGTGCGATGCGGGTTCAAGTATTCGAGTCGCACGTAATAAGTCTCTCAATCTTGGCTCAAATATGCATAAAAGTATCTCACTTTTAAAATACTCTAGCTTACTCCACCTCCTTTGAAAGCTCCGCGGGACACTAAGCGTGACGCATATCGATCTAGTCCAAGCACTGCTTGAACTCACCAAGTGAAAGAGACTTCGGCAATAGACCGACTAAATAGTTTGCACGAACAGCTAACAACTCTGCAGAACCATCTCTTGAAGTAGCTCCTAAATGCATGATGGTGCATAAGCTAATATTGTATCTTCATATCTCGCGGTGGTCGAATCCAATCATCCTCCTCACACATGGTAGCATGTTTCTTCGATTTTCCGAACAAGCTTTCTTCGTCAATATGACGATCATCCAAACTTGCCATAGGCTGAAACTAATATTGTCGTCAAATTTCTCAATATCCCACTATGTGGTGGTTATCTTTATCTTTTCATTAGGTCGATAGCTAATGTTTTGATACCATTGTCGGGGAGACTTTGGGTCCAATTTAGAGTTAATGAGCTTTAAACAAACACTAGCTAGTAACCTAACCATGTGTATTCAGTATTAACTCTTAACCGTATTTATTCAGTATTCATCAATGACTGTCCACATGCATCACAGCAACCTACAACCATAAATTCCAACAAGTAGTTGAAAACTCTATTAATTAACTTGGGTCAGAGAATTAATACAAAGAATTACTTATAAGATGATGCCATTTGGAAGCTTGTCTCGTAAGCTCAGGAAAAAATTAAAATTTCCGCAAAAAGCTTGCAATTAATCGAACCCTGATGACTTAATTTGTAGAGAAAATATCTAGTGATTATGATCCATTAAATTAATCGCATATCAAAGATATATCTATCCTTGAATCAGTGCATAAATCCTAAGTTCATCAATCACTTAAATACAATAGATCGAAGGCACTAGACATTTTAATTATCATGCTACCACAACCCGTCTAATAGTGAAAATTATGGAAGTAAAATATATATATAAATCGCTTTCCTAAAAAAACCCAAGCTTGTCAAAAATTTCATTTAATTAATTGCAAATTGCAACCTATAGCCTGTGCTTGCCAACCAATCACTGTACTATATATGAATTAAAAACCTTGTTCACGAGCCAACATTTTATCTTGCAAACAAATTAAACTACCCCAGGTCACAACAGCTTTGGGTTTTGTTCACAGCCCACAATATTACTCGCACCAGCTGCCCGTTTCTCTATGTAAACATTTCACAGCAAGCAAGCTCATCGAGATCTGATAACGCCCATCAAACCCCAGCAATTAGATTCTAATCAAAATGCTTAGTTTAATGATTCCAACAGAGAGGGGATTAAACTAGGATTACGATTGTATTAGTTAATCGCTCCATGAAACGCACGCTTCTTCTTGTGCTCAGCCCGCTGTCCCCACCAAGAGTACGGAGGGTTATTTGTTTTAGTTTAACGAGTAATTAGTTTGATTTAGTACTCTCACTTCTCGGAGAAGTTGTCGGCGTTTTAGACCGGGGACTATTAAACTTTTATAATAAAAGTTCTGACACGCTCAGTATATATATATATAAGTTCTTGATTATTGCTTCAAGGAGTCTATTGAGGGAGGAGAGAGTCAAGGGAGTTAATGTGTAGACAAAGGCTTCGTCTCCTTCATTAACTTGGGAGGGAATAAAGAAGTGTATTATTTACAGAATTCCAGCATTCTATGCGAAAACTTGCAGGTGTTCATTACTATTGTTTATCAAGTGAC